ATATTTAGGGCTACTTGTCGGTGTAGCCTTTTTCCTCGACCGGACCTTCCATTTCACAGACTCTGCAATGAATTTGAAGTGAAACCTCGATGGAGCAGACAATTTTCTTTCGAATGGAACATAACTTCGTATAAAAACGTGGAGCCTTAGCAGGAAATTTTTTCATAAAAGCTGCATTTTTATGGAACAGGAGAAGCTAGGATCGATCAGGAGGAGCTTTTCAATAGATTTCCTATAGTCATTAGGTTCGTCTCAAATGAAAGGGCTGCCACCAGCAGATCCAGGTCAACAGCTATGCAAATATGAAGGCAGAGTGCATTTTACAGTTTGAAGTGCGTCGCGTGGATGTGCCCCACCAAAACAGTGTAATCAGCTGTGCGATATTTGAAAGCAAAGGTATTATTGACTTATATGGAACACTCCCTGAAATTAAGAATTATTCAATTAAGATACTTTTGATTGAAGTCGTCCACGGGAAAAACTATTTCTGCCATCTGCTTGACGGCATCTGCAGCGGTGGGCAAGACCGGAGTGCTCTTGACGAAGGGTGAAGCGAGTGTGGAGCCACGTAATTTCTAGGAAGGCTCAGCATAAGATCTACTCATCCTACACGTATAAGCTCCTAAGCGGCTCGTAGCAGTTTTACGGCGGGAGCCGAAATTTTTTATGGTTTTTAGGAAAAAAAGAGGTTTTTTCATACAATACAAAATCTACTGCAAATATCGTTTCGTTTGTGTGCGTTATCGATAAATCAAGCATAGCACTTTAGGTAGTCTAGAAAGCATATTATTGCAACTCGATTTTTTTCATTTTGGTCACATTGGTCAGAGATTTGGTGTTTTTTCAGCTAAAAACCAAGCGTGCACGAAAGTGGGATCACTTCCCATAGCAGGCACGACACGACCAGGAAAAGATCGCTACTGGTACCTCCAATCAACAAACTCTGCTTAATATAAATTTCATTTAAAAGCAATTATGACGCCGACTAGTATACATTTATAAAATTTTGGCGTTCGGAAATCAAATGAGACAGAAGCCTGCCCTTGTTACCATAGCCGTCGTCCAACCCGTATGACGCTCTTTTTATCACTGTACTGTAGTTTTTAAACATACTTTGTGTTAATATTTATTCAGGCAAGTGAAAATGACGAAACAGAAGCTTACCGCATAAAAGCGCTGTCTCTCCATATTATGGCATTCTGACGTTCCGCTCATTGTGCCCTTAGCAGACCAGGCTGTTCCGCTAGAACAGGTGTTCTTCTTTGAAGGATGCCACTTTCTTCCTCCCTTCGTAGACAGCGTTTCTTCTATAGATGCATAAGTCTGAGTACTTCCCTACAATGTTTGTGGATTAGCTGCCAGTGTATCACACACTGTTGCAGTCCAAAGTATTATAGCATAGTTCATTCCTCTCATGCTGGGAGTCCCTATATAACTCTGTGTTTTCTTCCCAAGTGCCACAGTCAAAGAAATGCAAAATGAATTACATTCAAAGCAGTTTTACCATTCTTGTCCTTCTAAATGAAGGCTCATCATGAAGTGCTGCCTGAGGAAAAATTAGCGCTTCCCGTCCAGATTTCAGCCCAAATCATCGCTGCGAAGGAGGAACGATGTGGTTTTCCTTCGTGGTTCCCCTTTTTCTTGCTTACTCGTGCGGTGCCTTAAAAATTGCACATCTATTCCGCGTTAACATTTCGTGAGTGAAAAATTCGTCATGCAAGCGTCAGCGGCGTAGTTAAAGTTTCCACGGGCTCTCATTTGTGCCGGGGGCAACTAGAATCCAATGAACCTTTGGATATTCTGCGCTGCGATGCAAAGTTAACATCTGAATAAATCCATCATGTCGGGTTTAACAGTGATCTCTGCGCAACAAATACTTATTACCTATTATCAATATGCTACTGCTTGCTTACTGTATCTGCGACGCAGCCTATGTCTCGACAAGAGGTCCTGCCCGCTATACCATTCCTACGTACCCCACTCGCCAATCATATACGGTCTCTCAAATTTGATCACTATGTCCTTCATGAGTCTCCTTAAAGTGTAATTTTCTATATTCTTGACGGCTGCTTCTTGCACCATTACAAATGATTTTTCAAAAATGAAAGCATGTCATTCACGTTTATAGCCTCGGCTTCCAATTGCATTTCACCAAAAATATTGCAGTATGAATCCTATCTTACTCGCTATATTGTTGCAATCTCTCATCAATGGAGAAGATTTTTCCGTTGACGGCCATCGCTTGAAACGTCAGTCTATGGATTGGAAGGCTTGGCCACAACTTCTTTGGGTGGACGGAGTGAACTATTTCTTTGACGATTCCGTCTGTAAGCATTGGTGCTGTCGTGATTAGCTGAAACTCCAGTAGAAATACAATATGCAAATCATTTCAGCTGCTCAAACTAAGGCTGCGTTCATAGACGCAGCGAAACAATGGGAAAGTCACACCTGCATCAATTTCACAGAAAATCCTTCGGGTGAGAATTACACGAACATAAACCGAATAGGGTTACCATAGGCGTTGGAAAAGAATACGAACAAGAAAATTGAAAGAATACCGCTCAAATGTAGAGCACAATGTTTGGAAAATATAAAACTCGTCAATCTACAACAAAAGAGACATCAAATAATGAATGGATAGAGAACATCTTATGTTCTCTGTTGTATTGTACATTAATTCGTTAACAGAAACCTTACTTTTCAGCTAAAGACCGAGTGAAAGTGGCTGAGCTATCAGGATGTGATTCAGACGTCGGCAGGAAGGGCGGCCTACAGGTTTTATCGTTGGGAAACGGATGCGGTAGGAGACTTATTGCTGCGCACGAAATTGGTCATCTTCTGGGATTCATACATACCCACTCGCGTTACGATCGTGACGACTTTGTCAAAGTTAATTGGGACGTAGTTGAGGTAAACACTAGTTTTCTCTACCATTTCAAGAGGCAATCAATGATAATTTTCCTTATTAAATTGAAAGCTCTAAAGCGATAATACAGAATTGACTTGTTTTGTTTGTTAACTGCTGTTTTAACGCCGCAGTTCGCGTTGCGAATGTTTCACAAGAATGCTGGGTTGTGAACAAAACTTTCGCCCCAGGCGGGACTAGAACCCGCACCTCTCGCTTTCCGGGCAAGTGCGCTACCAGTTACGCTACCGGGCACCATTTCATTCCAACTCAGCTTTCATGGTATACTCACCATAGCTTGTCAGCACTCACACGTATAACGTGCTGACAAAGTTGACGATAGAGCATTCTTGTAAGACATTCGCAAAGCGAACTGCGGCCAAAAACAGCAGTTGACAAACAAAAACAAGACAGAATCGAGTATTTGCTCACTATTTGTAGAACGTATGAGTGAAAACTCCCTCCGTTCAAAACAAGTCATCAAGCACGTTACTGCGGAATGAAACTGTAAGCTTTTGTAACGATACGGCACCTACCCGTAAGTGTACAAGAGCCTAATGCCGTACCGGTGAACATGGTAATATTCATTATCAGCATGGCCACCATTAGCATCATCATCATGCGTTTTGACTGCATCTCTGGTCACTGTTGACAGCCTATCTAGATAGTGATCATACCAGAAGTCTACGGGAATGATTCTCTTCCATCGCCTTGGTGATTATATGAATGCCAGTTATCCTACGAATGTCGTGATCGACGAGACAGACTGGCGCCGTTGTTGCGCGGTTACCTTCACAGTGCGTGTCATAAGTATAGATCCACTCGAAAAAAATCTCAAAATTGCCATGAACGAACCCACCATAGTTTCATATTGGAAATGCATGCCGGCGTGAGGGTTAGCATACGAGAATACCTTTGCCTACCTGCTTTCATTAATCGGAGAAAGAAACATGGCGCATTTTAACAGGTGGTCGGTCGCCATTTGAGTTGTAATCCTCCCGCCCCCCCCCCTCCAGGAGCACTTACATTAAAAATTGATCAGGTTCCAATTCACATCGTGGACACCGCAGATCTGATAGCCTTGCAGGTAAGAATGAGGATGAAATTGTTGTGGTAATGCCACTCAGATATGAAGGTAGGGATACGAAGTAGGCTGCAAGTGGAGAAAACTCTACCTCTCTACCACAACTCCATTTTCATTTTTCCTACTCTTGATTGAACTGACTTCATATGAAGCAGAAAAGAGTGAGATCACGTTCTCGTCTTCGTTGGTTTGACCACGACGGTGGGAGCTCATTAAGGCAGTAAACACTAGGGTTCATCAGCAAAAAATTACGTTTTTCTCCGTTCACAAAGAGGCACCTGTGTTCCAGTCATAAGCCGTATTAACACGTTGACGACAAGCTGACGCGCATGCGCGTCAAAACTTTAGCACCGCATCGGACATTCTGACGCGCATGCGCGTCAGAACTATGTCATTCATTTTTATCGTGCTTGCGCTCCTTCTTCTCGAGTTTTTTGTATTCATTCTATAGATAATACATTAGCATAACTATAAACCACATGGCAGCCAGAAATATCCCTTGATTTAGCAAAGATTTTCTGAACGCACAAAACTTTCATTTCAATTCTTTCCTAGTATTCCTTTCACTGTCGTAACATTCATATGAAAGATTGTAGAAGCAGTTAATACAAAACTCTGTAGTTTCAAGATATTTGTATTTGATGGAAGAACTTAGATATAAATGCTTTTAACTTCATTCGCAGCGAAAGTGATGTTTTTTGCTTCTTCGTGGTCATTATGCGTTCTTCTAAACAAAAATCTACTGCCATTATATAGTATAGTTAACCTTTATGCTTTCATCCTTGCCGAAATAATTCTATGAGATTCAAGTTGTTGTGCATTTTAAACAAAAAATAAGCGGAAGTAAGGTGAGGACGGCGCGCTCGCAAAATCGCTCCTGTCCCACGAGGTGCAAAACGCCAAAGCACGCGATGTCGTCAAGGAATGTGGGCTGGTAGTGCGTGCACTATCTTGTAGGTAGCACTACTAATCGTTTCGAATAAATGAAATACTATCACATGAGCGCAAGTATGTATTTACCAGATTGGTACCCTGTGAACCGATGAGATCTTCCTTCTCCGCGTAAGCTTTACGTCTTCCGCTGTGGTCCCTTCCACCTGTGACACCAACACCTCGTGGAGGTGACGCGTATGCAACAAAAAAGAGTTTCAATTAGCAGAGGCATCGTCATAATCATGACACGGCGGTAGAATGACATATCAAGACCTACATAAGTGCCCTCGAGTCTGTTCTTGATTGGTTTGCCGCCTTCCCTCCATCCTTCCTCACTCCCTCCACTGCCCTCCAGCTGCCACTGCAGCACCATGTGGAATGGCCGGAAGTGTGCTCGGTGGGTGTTTGTATAACCGTAGAGGTGTTATCACAATTATTAGATCACGGAGCATCGGTAGCTCAAATACTGTGAAGCTACCCGATTCTGTCATACATACATACATACATACATACATACATACATACATACATACATACATACATACATACATACATACATACATACATACATACATACATACATACATACATACATACATACATACATACATACATACATACATACATACATACATACATACATACATACATACATACATACATACATACATACATACATACATACATACATACATACATACATAATACATAATACATACATACATACATACATACATACATAATACATACATACATAATACATACATACATACATACATACATACATACATACATACATACATACATACATACATACATACATACATACATACATACATACATACATACATACATACATACATACATACATACATACATACATACATACATACATACATACATACATACATACATACATACATACATACATACATACATACATACATAATACATACATACATACATACATACATACATACATACATACATACATACATACATACATACATACATACATACATACATACATACATACATACATACATACATACATACATACATACATACATACATACATACATACATACATACATACATACATACATACATACATACATACATACATACATACATACATACATACATACAAACCGACACACCAAATTAGCGGTCTATAAAATGGAAGAATTTGAAGGCTTTCACTAGAGTTTTTTCAGGCAGATCATAAAGGAGACTTCGAAAAATTTACACGAGAGCAGAACAATAACTTTGGATTGGCGTACGACTACGGCTCCATTATGCACTACGCCGCAGCGGAGTAAGTTTTCCTACATAATGTTCGTATGCACCAAGCTCAAAGATTTGAAAAAGCAAAATACAGCAACTCAACCCAGTCCACAATCTGGTGAATGTGCGTGATGATCATTGAAAGAAACTCTGGGAATTCAGGAGTATGACGATTTCAGATCGTGTTTGGAGCTGATTCGGGCTCTAATCATGTGAGATAAGAACTCCATAGTTCCAAATCCTTTCGACTCAACGGAAATGCCTACATTCAATCATCTTTAAGTCGGATACGCTTTGATAAATTGCGAATAGTTTGTCCAGATCATTTTCAGTGGCGCTGGGTAGAGTAGTAAGGTTTCCAGCCGAGGGGTATTTAAAGTTTCGGTCATCTACGACTAGAAAAGCCACCCCTGGAATAGGGTAAACCACAGGTGCACCGCGGATTGAGGGAGCGTGCCGTTGCCTATCTTCGCTTGGTCCTGTATGTTATTTGGCGTTCGAAAGACCCTATTCTGAAGTGATGAAGAAGGAAATCAAAAATAGGTTATGGAAAAATTGGAGCAATAGCCAAGGAAGACAGAGTGTAAATGGGCCGACTTTTTCAGATAGAGCAAGAAAAGGTTTTCAAAACTGCTCAAGTAGGATAATGTGAGTACTATTTCGCAAAACAAGTTTTGCGCCCGCCCTCAAAGTTTTTTTAAAATGAGCAATAAAGTGAGTCACGAATCGAGGGACAACCTAATATCTCTACATTAGATTAGGTCTTTCAAAATGTGCTAACATTTTCTCGACACTTGCTTTTGAGTGATTTATTTCGTCATGTCATGCAGCCGCCTGCAACTACTAGCACTTTTGAAAACTTTTTTTGCTTGAAATTAGATTCAAGCTTGCTTGAAGCACTTTCTTGTCACTTTTTCCAGAGCCTTGATACAGCATATTCAAAGAGCACGTTTGCATGATTTTCTTTTTCCAGCCCAAAACATGTCTGGAATTACCGAAAGCAGGTCACGATACCAAGGCTGCACTTGCCTCAAATTCGCAATGAATATGCAAAAAGTTGCTGGAACAGTAGGGAGAGCACTTGAGGTGACAATGTTAGTGCTCAGATATCGGACGTTGCGAACGTTTAATCAAGAGCTATGATTGATTAGGTGCATAGACGATCGAAAACCTTTCTCCCAAACTAGACGTAACGGACTTCAGCTTTCCTCAGAAAGAGAGTAAGAGTTAGACAGACCAAAATTTGTGGTAAGGGCGTTCCACGACAATTCGATATTTTGTGACGTTGTTCTCCATTTTATTGCTTGTTTTGTGCAATGAAAAAGATTTACTAATCTACTAATCTGTGATATACGATGTAGAACGGATTCTTCGCTACAGTTGTGGAAAAGAAGAGGAGGTTACGGTAAGCGGAACTCACTGTCTGGACTAAGTTATAAATAACGGAGAATATCTAAGGATCCCTTCAAACCAAGTGGTTCGTATTCAGGCTCAGAAAATTGGAAGTCAAAACAGCAAAAATAAGAAGAAAACTGTTTCAGCTTAGGCGCCTTACGTTGAGCTGCTTCAAAGAGAGAGCATAAATGACACCAATTAGAATAGAAGCCGAAGAAAGCATTAGAGCATACTTTCTGAGCTTACGCTCTGTATACAAGTTCAGCGCTCGATTTATCACAGCGTCAGATGAATATTTGTGGTGTAACAATGGAAATAAGTTTAAGTTCAAGTTTAAGTTTATTACGCCTGCATAAAGCGCACGTTAAAAAAACAACACAACATCAATAAAACAAATCGATATGAACATTCACAACTAAATTGGATTAGTAAATAGAACATAGAATAAGTCATCTCGAAATCAGTCTCACAAAATGCTAGTATTTTTAGTACCTTAACAGAGTGTTGGCTACGCGATGCTTGAATTGTGCTAACGACAAGTTAGCTGGCATATTCTTGACTAACTTTCAACCGACTACCCGCTCCGAAAGTAAAGTTCCTTGCGCAGAGGTTAGTTCGGGGTCGTGTAGCGAAATCTTTTTGAGTCCTCCCCTCGTTCTTAAAAATGACATTAGGAATTCAGAACCAGACAAGCCTCGCGTCATCTTATGGACTAAGCAGATGTCAAAAACATCGCGCCTCGACTGTAGCGATGGCAGCCCTAGATAGCTGCTCCTCATTGCTGCGTTTGGAATTTTCGAGTACAGATACCCCCCAATTCGGATAAGCAATTTACGAGTAAACTTATTTTGCACTTTCTCAAGTGCATATATGCATTTCTTCTTTTTAGGATTGAATACCGTAGTGCTTGGTTCTACGAGAGGTCTTACATAGGACTTGTAGGCAGTATAAGGGCTCGCTTACTAGTGACTGGCAAGATTTAGAAAATTTGAAATGTACGTAACTGGGCCATTTTGGTCCTCTTCAGGATGTGTTCTGAAAAATCGAGCTTGTTGCTATAGTAGAAGCCAAGGTCTCTAACAGATTCAACTGCAGAAAGTGGGACCCCATCAACCGTGTATGAGTGCAAAATTGATGGAGTTTCAGATCTCAAATTCATGTACACCGTTTTTTGTGGAGCTATAGGCAGTTGCCACTCTTTGGACCAATTCACTGTCAAATCAATAGCTACTTGCAGTTTCTGAGAGTCATTCAAGTCTGAGGTTGATTTGTAAATTTTCATATCGACTGCGTATAACTTAGCTGTAACACCGATATCTGAGAGTTGAAATGCTCCCAGGTATCGGTGTTACAGCTAAGTTCTTAGGAAAAGTGTTAGGTGGTGTTAAAGGTGTTACAGCTAAGCTCTCAAGATCTCAGGAAAATCAGCTCTCAACTGTAAAAATATTGAAAAAGAATTGGCGATAATACTCCACCCTGGGGCACGCCGCTGGTTATTCTCCTAACATCGGAGAATGATTGATCTATTTTAACCTGGAAGGATTCTGCCATCTTAAATAAGTGGAGATCCATTTTATGAGAACAGGATGGCAATTTGAGAGCTTCCAGCTTGTGAATAAGTTTCTTGTGTGAGACTCTATCTAACGCTTTCGCGAAATCAAAATAAATGACATCGCAACACCTTTTTTTGTCAAGCGTTTCATACCAGTCATTACTTTCAATCAGATTTGTTTCTAAAGACCAACCAGGAATAAAGCCATGCTGTTGCTCCGAAGTGTCAAATAGTGATTGACGTAGCCCTTCACGACTTTCTGAAATAGCCTACAGAACAGTGACGTGATGCTCACAGGCCGATAATTCTCTGTGTTGCACGAAGGCTCTTTTTTAAGTGTAGGTAAGAAAGAATTTTCCACCGCGAAGGGACCTCACCGAAAACTAATGACGAGTTAAATATATAAGCAAGAGGCCCACATATCACAGGCGCTAGTTTCAGTATAACGAAGAACGGAAGGAAATCGGGGTGACAGAAGAGGAACCAGGCCATTTTTCAATGAGGTCGAACAAAGCGGAGGCCGTTAACCAGGGGAAATCCTTCATAGGCTGTACGGCAGGGCAAGGAGGAATAATTCATTTCCATCGTCTTCTTGGTAAACACTTTCAAAGTGATCAGCTAGCATATTTGCTTTATCAGTAGAAGAGATTGCGACCCTGTCACCTGTTCTCAAGCAACCGATACGTTTCGAATCATTAGTCCTTTTACTCAAATACCTATGGAAGCAGCGAACATTACCGGAGTCAATGATATTTCTTTATACATAATCATTGTACCTTTTAAGATGCTTGTAAAACTTTGAAAGCTCTGTACTCATCCCAGCTATTCAAACGTTTAGCTTTGCTGAAGAGACATTCTCGATGTTCCACCATATTTTGCAGATGCAGGGAAGATGAAATGAGTTAACGCATGGGACTTTCTATGGAACATATAGATCAATCAGGGTCAACCCTGCGTTGCGCAAATTCCAAAATTTTTACGACCCCCTCCTTTTCGGAGGGTATCGGTACGACCCCCCCCATATTAACTATTATGTCTTTCACATAATTTAATGCTCATCAATGATGTGTGGGCAGTCACCAACATGGAGAAGTGGTGGACCGTGGTCAATCCGCGCGCTTTGTCTCGCTCAGAGGAGGGAATCGAGGCAACATGAAGTTTTATTCATTAAATAGAAGGAATTTCCAAATTTTTGCGTAAACCAATACATCATTTTAATCGTAAAGATTTCTACTTTCAGAAACCTACCAAGTTTTTTTTTCGATCTCTCAATTTTCCTTATTTTATAATCTGAAAAACTAAACCTTGTAGCAATTACGTTGCAATCCAAACCCCTCCATTCAGAAATTATATTTTTCTTCAGAAGCGGTTTCATGGGCGGATGTTCAATATTTCAAAAAATCGTCCCGTTGTTCCGTTTTTTGTGCACACGAGTTTTCGACATTCAAACATTCATAACTTTCTTCATAATCAACTTTTTGCAGATGTCTAAGGCTAATTAGAAACTAGAAGATTAGAGCTTTCGAATAAGTGCTAAACTTTTTGAAATAATCACTCGCTCAAAAAATAGTCCCGTTGTTCCGTTTTTTCCACCTTGATTTTTTTCAAGCCATTTTCCTGGACCGCGACTATGCAGTCTTCAAAGGCCCATAACTTCCTTCAAATTAATGTGATGAGAAGCGGTAAAGATTGTTGGAATCTACTCGAAGAGTACTTCATAACAAGTGTGAAATTTTCCTGAAATTCTTTCTTCTGCCTCAATTTTCCTAAGGGGTCTCTAGAACTCAATTCAGCAAATTCGCTACACTTTGTTCCGCTTAGATTTGATTTGAAAGCATCGAAATTCTCTTCAGGAAGTTTGTCTGCTCACGGCCGCTGACAGAGAAGGCGTTTTTATGGGAAAACGCCTGCTCGGGTATACGCCGTGCACCTGTCTGTGTCGCACTCGCATTTGAAAGTCCTCCATTTTCCTGAAGAAGGTGTTAGTATCGTGATTGAGTTGCATTGTACTGTTATATGGTACTCTTGTTTCACTTCCCCATGAACTGCTCTACACTTTGTTCTCCTTGGGATTTCAGGAATGTTCGA